AAAATTGTATAACATTCTCAAAAATTATTTTGGAAAGATGTTGAAGGACAAAATCATTATGTAATCTAAAAATTTTAAATAATTTTTCATTTAATCATTTCATCGCTTAGGAGCAAGAAACAGCAATGCACTTGGCCGCACGATCGGGCAATGAAGCTGCGCTACTTGCTATTGTCGACAAAATTGGGGCTGGAACGGTGCAAATTGTTCAAAACAAACAATCCAAGGTAACCTAAGTTTTAACAGGTAAATTGTTTTGTTGATTATTTGAATAAGCAGTACTGCATTTTCACAACATTTCTAGTAGTTTAAAATTGATCAAAATAGAAAATTAATTATTTAAATAGCAGGTAACATATATTCTTTCATTTTTAAGAATGGCTGGTCACCATTAATGGAAGCATGCGCTCTCGGTCATTTTGGTGTTGCTCGAATTCTCCTGCAACATCATGCTCGAGTTGATGTTTTCGATGAGAATGGTCGAACAGCGTTACATTTAGCTGCTGCTAATGGTCATCTCAAATTGACACATTTATTACTGACCAATAAAGCATTTGTTAACAGGTCAAATCATGCTGTTTTTTTTGCTTAAATAATAGTAATAATATCAAAATTTTATTTTTATGAATATTTTTTAGGAATATTAAAACAAAAGCAATTAAAATTCGATTATAAATAATTTAGATTGATTCAAATTATAGAAGACACCGTATTTTAGGTATTATATTAAGCAAATTATTTTAGAGAATTTAATTTTTTTTTTATTTTTTTCACTAACTAGTTCAATTTTAGTAGGGAAAAAGTTAAAATTTTACAAAATTAAAAATTTTTTTTGTATTTTTAGTACTATTATAATATTATAGTAAATCAAAAACCGGTGAAGCACCGTTACATCTAGCAGCACAGAATGGTCATGTGAAAGTGGTCAGTGTCCTCGTCAAAGATCATGGCGCTTTATTGGAAGCAATAACATTGGACAATCAAACAGCATTGCATTTTGCTGCACGATATGGACAATTAGCTGTAGCACAAACGTTACTTACACTTGGTGCTAATCCAAATGCACGAGATGATAAAGGACAAACGCCGCTTCATTTAGCAGCTGAAGTATGCCAAATTTATTTTAATTTCAATTTATTAAAAAAGGAAATACAAATTAATATTGATAAAAGATTTGTTTTTTTCTTATCAAAAATATACTTTCACAGTTAACATCCTTTTTTTCAGAATGATTATCCGGATGTAGTTAAATTATTTTTGAAAATGAGACAGAATAATCGAGCAGTGTTGACAGCAATTGATTTAAATGGTTTCACATGTGCTCATATTGCTGCAATAAAGGGATCATATGCAGTTGTTAAAGAATTGATGATGATCGATAAAGCTATGGTTATTCAAGTATGATTTCTCCATCATTCAATTTATTAAAAAAGGAAATACAAATTAATATTTTTCATTGTTAGACAGATGATAAAAATAAAATTTTTGCCAATTCTATAAATTAACAAACTGTAAATTGGAATTAATGTAAAGGCAAAAACAAAAACAATGGAAGCAACAGCATTACATATGGCAGCTGCTGGTGGACATAGCAAAATTGTTAAAATTTTACTCGAAAATGGTGCTAATGCTGAGGATGAAAATGCTGTTAGTCATGTATTTTGCAAAATTTATATTTAACTTTTTTTTTCCAAAATGTTGCTAATGTCGTGAAATTCGTTGATTCGTTGGTCTATGCGTTCCAAATACAACCAGTGTTTCCCAAGATTGATTTGCCTCTCGCGTTGTTTGCGGAGAGTTGATTGAGGTGTATTGAGTTGGACAAGTTTAAGTTGGATTTGAGTAACAGTTGAGTTAAAAGGAGAACCGAATGACGGTTAATTTGACCAAAGGGCAATTGATTTGCGCTGTTGTCCGGAAGAACGAATTATCTCAGCTCTATTGGGTTCAGAACGAAAGAAAGAATGACCCCAACATCAATACAATGAGGCTTATAAAACACTAGAAAATGGGCGTAGTTATCATTAAACAATAAAGTAAAAGTATCTGCACTGAC